GCCGCCCATGGCCTCGGCCCCGTCACCTGGAACGACGAGCTCGCCGCCAAGATGCAAGCATGGGCCGACTCCAACCCGCAAAAGAACGGCGGCGGCCACGGTGGCCCGCCCGGCAACCAGAACCTCGCCGGCTTTGTCGTCTGCAACAACGACTGCATGCACACGGCTGGCCCGGCCTGGAACTGGTACTCGAGCGAGGAAAAACTCTGGGACTACGACAGCAACCAGAGCAAGGACGGCAACTGGATGACGACGGGCCATTTCTCCAACTCGATGGACCCGGGTGTCAACCAAGTGGCGTGCGGCTACTCGACGTACTACAACCCAAACATTGGCAAGGACGACTCGCTGGTGTGGTGCAACTACCTCGGTGGCACCAACGGCAAGATCCCGCGTCCGTCGGTGGACCAGGCGACGCTCGTCAAGCAAATTCTGGCCTAGTGTCGCTCTGTGAGTGTCGTATTTAATATCAATTGTCTGCTGATCATCTCTCACACAGCATCTGGTATCGTCATGCAGCGGTGTGGCTATTTCTCGCATTCGACTCTTGACGGGCATCAAGGGTACCCTTTCGAGAACCCATGCAAGAGTTTAGGTCGGCAGAACCGAACCGTAGTTTCGATGCACGTCCGAGACAATCCATGATACGGTGACCGACCTACACTACACACTCATCTAGCGCATGACGTGGCCTGTTGCTCGCATCCATGCGGTCTCGGGTAAAGATCAATGCAAGAACAGTAGGCGCGTCACCTCTGCCACCACGAAAGGACCATGATCCACTGGTGCATCCCCCATGACCATACCCGCATCCGCCAAAGCACATACCGTTCGGAGGTTACGAGGTTACAAGGTGGCTTGCCGACGACGCTTCCGAGGAGCTTTGGTCGGTTGTCGCGTGCTTCGGTGGTGCCAACTGCAAAAGGCGCGTCGTGCGCAGTGTCGGCATATCCGGCTGCCACGTATTACATCGCTTCGAAGTTCGGGTGCCATTGACAGTTTTGTATGAATGCGTGTCAAGCCGGTTGGCTTCGAACTTCGACAACGACGTCGTGGCAGCACTTAACGTGGCTCATTTTCGATTGTACGGCGATGCAGACGTCGCGCTTCAGCTACAACGAGCCGCGGACGACCGACATGGTCATCCTCGAGGAGAGCGACGCGAAGGATACGAACGCGTTCGTCGATGAGTTTGAGCGCCGCAAGCGCAAGCGCATCTTCGCGATCCTCGGCGCCGGCGTCATGGTCGTCGGTCTCGCTGTCGCCGTCGTCGTGCTCGCCGGTGGCAGCGAATCGCGCAGCAGCCAGAGCTCGGCCAACACACCGACAAAGGCACCCAACAGCAACGGCGCTGTGAGCGGCAACGGCGGCAACTCGGAAAGTATGACGACGTCGACAACTCCGACAACCATGCCTTTCACATCGGTGCCCGTCGACGGCAGTGCCACGCCGAGTCCCACAATGACTACACATCAGCCCGGTTCAAACGGAGAACAAACGAGTGCCCCTGGCCCGCAACCGAGCAGCAAGCCTAGTTCCGCTCCAGGTCCCCCGCCCTCGTCATCTGCGCCGTCGCCGAGCTCGACACCGTCATCCCAACCAAAGCCCACCGCCCAGCCGAGCTGGCAGCCTCACCCTAGTTCGCAGCCGAGTTACCAGCCTAGCCCGAGTCCTCAGCCTCAACCCGGCCCCCAGCCTCAACCCGGCCCCAAGCCTCAACCCGGCCCCCAGCCACAGCCAAGCCCCCAGCCACAGCCAAGCCCCCAGCCACAGCCAAGCTCCCAGCCGCAGCCCAGTCCCCAGCCGCAGCCGCAGCCCAGCCCGAAACCCAGTCCTCAGCCCCAGCCATCTCCATCGCCGTCGCCCGCTCCTCAGCCGGGTCCCTCAAACGGTGACCTCAAGACCCAGATCGTCCACCAAACCACCGTCCTCCGCGCCGCCCATGGCCTCGGCCCCGTCACCTGGAACGACGAGCTCGCCGCCAAAATGCAAGCATGGGCCGACTCCAACCCGCAAAAGAACGGCGGCGGCCACGGCGGCCCGCCTGGCAACCAGAACCTCGCCGG